AGTCCTAGCTACTCATGAAGGTAGTGAGGTAGGAAGTTTGCTTGAGGCCAGAAGTCGAGGCTGCAGCAAGCTATGATTCTGCCACCGTGCTCCAGCCCAGGTGAGAATGACATCCCATCTCTAAAAATGAAAAATAATTTAAAAAAATAGTAAAAATGAGTGGAAAGCAGTAGAGACCAAAGACAGATTATGTACACACATAGGAGAGACTGGGAGGAAAGAAAAAAGAATTACAATTTTTGGGCCTGGGCACTGTGGCTCACGCCTGTAATCCCAGCACTTTGGGAGGCCAAGGCTGGTGGATCACCTGAGGTTGGGAATTTGAGACCAGCCTGATCAACATGGAGAAACCCCATCTCTACTAAAAATACAAAATTAGCTGGGCATGGTGGTGCATGCTTGTAATCCCAGTTACTTGGGAGGCTGAGGCACGAGAATCACTTGAACCTGGGAAGCAGAGGTTACAGTGAGCCGAGATCATGCCATTGCACTCCAGCCTGGGCAACAAGAGTGAAACTCAGTCTCAAAACACACACACACACACCAATTTTTAAGGAAAACAGGATTCCTAAATCAGTAGATATTTAAGGCCAAGTGCAGTGGCTCACGCCTGTAATCCTAGCACTTTGGGAGGTGAGGCAGGCACATCACTTGAGGTCAGGAGTTGGAGACTAGCCTAGCCAAAATGGTGAAACCCCATCTTTATTAAAAATACAAAAGTTAGCCAGGCATGGGGGCAGGTGCCTGTAATCCCAGCTACTCAGGAGGCTGAGGTACAAGAATCACTTGAACCCAGGAGGTGGAGGTTACAGTGAGCCGAGATCACACTATTGCACTTCAGCCTGGGTTGACAGAGCAAGACTCCGTCTCAAAAAATAAAAAGCAAAAAGAAATGTAAGATATTTACAAGCCAAAAGAAGGGTCTGTGCATATGGGGATACCTGAAGAAATAATGCATACTATTATGTAAGAACAAGTCCTAGGTAAGGGAAGGATGGGAGGAAAGATAGATTAAGCAGTTAACGTTCAAACTTTGAAGGATTTGAGGCTTCAGCTACAAAGTAAAGGTAGACTATGAGGGAATTCTTACCCTGCTCCCTTTCTTCTCCATAAAGTAGGTGACATCGCCTTATGAGAAAGAGGTCAAGGAAACGGAGTCTTTGTGGGAGTTCACCAAAGAGTCTAGTGATTAATAAATGGTGAAAGATAAGTTGCCAAAAGGCTTCAAGCAAAATGGCTATAGGGATCTGTAACTTCTTCCACCACTGGTCTGTGGTCTGGGAGCAGAAGCTGAAAAAACAGTACGTGCTGGTTATTCAGTGTTAGGAATTGATAGAGTGAACTTCCCAGCTTCTTCCTATTTATTTTACAGACTGCAAGTTAACTCATTCAACACTGAGGGCAAAAGTTTCACCCAAATCTCAACAGCTCTTTCCAGCTCTGCATTTCACTATATCATGCAGATTATGTCCTCCCTTCCCTCTTCTACTCACTAGAAACATATCATGGTCACTCCTTTAAGACTCCATTTCTAGGCTGGGCGTGATGGCTCACACCTGTAATCACAGCAGGGAGTCCGAGGTGGGTGGATCGCCTGAGGTCAAGAGTTTGAGACCAGCCTGGCCAACATGGTGAAACCCCGTTTCTACTAAAAACACAAAAATTAGCTGGAATGGTGGCTCAAGCTTGTAATCCCACCTACTCAGGAGACTGAGGGACAAGACCCACTTGAACTCAGGAGGGATCCTTGGAGGTGGAGGTTGCAGTGAGCCAAGATCGCACCACTGCACTGCAGCCTGGGTGACACAGTGGGACTTTGTCTCAAAAAATTTAAAAAAAACCCCAAAACTCCACTTTTATAAACTCAAAGGAGTATGAGTAGGATTAAGGTGAATCCCATTCTCTTCCAATGTAAAGCATAGAAACTGACTTGGTGAATATATTTAATAAATGGTTGATCCCCCCATTTCCTACTCCTT